GGCTGCTGCGGGGGCGGGAGCAGCGCGGAGCGCAGCGAGCGCCGGAAGCGGAGGAGCACCGACTCGTCCTCCAGCGTCTCGGGCTCCGTGCAGCAGGTGTGTGCGCGCGCCCGCGCCGCCCGGGCGGCTGCTTGTTTGGAAGAGGGCGGGCTACAGGCGGCCTGCGAGGCGTAGGGGCGCCGGGGCAGCTCGTTAGCGGAGCAGCCCCTAAGGTCTTTCGGGCTTGAGGTGCCTGTTCCTACTTCTGGGGAACCCCATTCTGGCTGTGGTGAACTTCAGGTTCCTGCGTTTACCTGTCTGCCAACTTGTCTTTCTCCTTCTCTTTTTTAACTTTTGGCCCCTTCCGTTCCTTTGGTCTTCCTCAACAGTGTAAGCTGGGATCTAGCCTTCGATGCTCTTGCGAGAGAAACGCCTTACTTTTCTCTTCGTCTTTACCTTTTAGATTACGATGAACTCAGAGTTATAGATGAAAAAAATTGAGACCCAAAGATGTTGAGGAACATTACTCACCATCAGTTTGTTAATAGCTCCTAAATTTGAAACCAGTGTCTGAGTCTATAAAAGCCATGTTCTTTATGCGCCATCACCCTGCCAGGATACAGCTGTTCAGGGGAAAAAAAATTGTAATTTATTATAAAAGAAATGAGTGAATACCCTTAAAGTTCGTTCAACACAAAAATAAAGGGAAAAGCGTGAAAGTCTCTCTTCATGCCTCCCATGAACTGTCATAGGTTTGGAAAGCTGCCTTTGGTAAGTTTAGGGAAATTCTCAATTCCTAGTTCACTGGTGGTTGTAGAGCTTTCTCAGGTGGTTTCCTGGCATTCTGTTGAGATAATCACATAGTTTTTCTACTTTTAACGGATGCCATTTTATTGATAAATCAAGTAATATGGAACTATCCTTGCAGTCTTGAAATAAATCCTGTATAGTTTGGTATGATTGTACTTGACTGGTATTTCCTATGTTAGATCAGCCTGTACTTTTTTTTTTTTTTTTTTTTTTTTTTTGGAGAGGTTTTATTGTTATAGGGTGAGTACACTCTCCAGTAAAAGACAGAAAGTGAGAAATCACCTCCGCAGGGGGAATGGCCACACCACAATCCCTTCTCCTCCTTTCTCCTCTCAGGATCTTGGGCACGCACACACATGCGCCCGATGTGAGTTTAAGCCACCAGGTCTGGGACTTGACCCTTGGTCTACTACATGGAAGTCCAGCGGCGTAGCCATTACACCATCTGCTGGTCCCGATCAGCCTATGCTTTTAATTTTTGTTATGGATTGAGTTAGAAAGTTTTGTATTTTTTTAGTGTGTTCCAGACTAGCATATATCTTTTTCTCAGTATTTGTCCGAACTTGACCATTGAATCATTCTGCTATCTGGGTCTGGTAGTGTTTTTTTCTCTTTTTTTTGGGGGGGGAGAAGTTTTTGCTGTAAGGTGCATGCACACAACAGAAAGACAGAGACAGACAGACAGACAGACAGAAAGCAAGAAATCACTCCCCCCACCCCCCGGGGGGGATGGCCACACCACAATCCGTCCATTCTCCTCTCCAGATCTTGGGCACGCATGCACACGCACCCAGCATGAGTTGAACCGCAGCCCGAACTGCAGTCAACTACGTGGGAGTCCAGTGACATAGCCATTACACTAACTGCTAGTCCCTGTCTTTTTTTTTTTTTTAAAATAATTATAGAACTGTTCAGTTTTCCCACCATACCTAGGTTCAGTTTTGGCTATCACATTCTTAAATAATTTCCATAGCCCTAGTACTCTTTATCATGCTTGTGGATACCAACAATGGTAAGTATTGTAAATATTTGCATACATAACTAACCGCAACTTCTAATGAGAAATAGATGTTATTTGTGAAGAAGAAAAGTCATTACATACTAGGCATATAGATAATATTGCAAAAATCTGAGAGTGCCATTATATCTGCTGTGTTTAGTTCTCAATTTTATTTTATTTTATTATTTTTTTTTTTTGAGAGGTTTTGGCTATAGTGCAGAGATAGACAGACAGAAAGTGAGAAATCACCCCCAGCGGGGGATGACCATGCCGGAATCCCTTCTCCATTCTTCTCTTGGGATCTTGGGCATGCACGCATACGCACCCGGCTGAGTTTAAGCCACCGGGTCTAGGACTTGAACTGCAGTTGACTACATGGGAGTCCAGCGACATAGTCCTTACACCAACTGCTGGTCCCCCTACTTTATTTTTTATTCCCTACTCTGTCTCTAGGTAGCCACTTACTTACTTCTTGTCTCTATGGAGTTATAGATTGCCCTGTTCTGCACATTTTATTATTACTATTTTTAATTTGACCAGAGAGAGACAGAGAGAAAAAGGGGGCAATGAGAAAGCAAGCCACCAGGTCTAAGACTCAAACCATGGTTGGCCATGTGAGAGTCCAGCACCCTTAACCACAATGCCACCTGCTGGCCCCATGCACATTTTTTTTCCCCTTTTCTTTTGGAGAGGTTTTTGCTATAGGGTGGGTGTGCTCATCTGACAGAGAGGGACAGAGAGACATAAAGCGAGAAGTCATTCCTCAGGGAAGATGGCCACGCCGCAGTTCCTTCTCCTCCATTCTCCTCTCGAGATCCTAGGCATGCATGCACACGCGCCCGGCGTGAGTTTTAAGCCACTGGGTCCGGGACGCAAACCGCAGGCGACTACATGGGAGTCCAGTGACATAGCCATGACTCTAACTGCTGGTCCCTCCCCATTCACATTTTCTATGAATGGAATCATCTGGTAATTTGTGTCAGGCTTCTTTTGCTTAACATACCCTTTTCAAATTTAATCCATGTTGTGTGACCACATGGATTTGTTCCTTTTTGTAGCTATATAGTACTTCATTGAGTGCCTATACCAGATTTTATTTTTCCATTTATTGCTTAATAGACATTCAGGCTGTTTCAACCTTTGGCTGTTATGAATAATGCTACTTTCAACATTGCAAGTTCTCATGCTGACATATGGTTGCATTTATCTTGGCTATATTATATCGAGGAATGGAATTATTGGATCTTCTATTGAATAGTAACTTTTTGAAAGCCTGCCATACTGTTTTCCTTCTAAGGCAGCTGCACCACCTTTTATTCTCACCAGTGGTACAGGAGGCTTCCAGTTTCTCTATACCCTTACATTATGAACCATTAGGGCAAGAGCTAACCTTTTTCTTTAAAATGGCCTGTTTTGAAACAATTTCACTGGATGATGTAACAAAGAAACCTACCTGGCATATGTAGTTAGGGAGAATTTTTCTGAGACAGTGACTTTAGAATTGATATCTGAAATATTTGAGTTTGTTCATCTTGTGAGTGTAGCTTGCTAGGGGAAGGGCAGAAGAAACACTGTCATAGGCATAACAATATGTACAAACGTCTGCCTATATGAGCCGAAAGAGAACGGGTTTATATTTGAGTAATTCAAAGAAGGTTATTGTGTCCAGAACACAAAGGATGAACATGATTAAGGGTCAGCTAGATCATGGTACCCTAAAAATGGGAAATCACTGAAGCATTTTAAATAAGATGGATGAGTATACACATTTTATAAAATCCATTTTACTAACAGTGCTCAAAACCGAGAAGTCTCAGATTGGATGCAAGGAGTCCAGTTAAATGGTTACCTAGTGAGAACATCACATTAGTTTAGACCAGGGTTATGGCAATAGAATTGGAAAACTGAATGGATTGGGAGATAGGTCTTAAATTACTTGGCTACTTTGATTATGACCAATTATAAAACAGTTTTTGAAATGATAATAGCTCCTGGTAGGCATGTGACTTTACTACTACGTATTTTGATTTGGAACATTTTACCTGCGGTTCCTTTTTTTTTTTTTTTTGAGAAATAGTGAAAGGAAGTTTATTAAGGAAGATGTACAGAGCCGACAGCTCCATGGGTAGAACAGTCCTGTGAGAGGAGATGGATGAACAATTTTGTTCTTTCCTCCAAGAGGAAGAGGAGAACTGTTACCTGAAAGGAAAGGAGAGATCGAAGAGCTACCCTCTGGGCAGGGCAGCAATTCCATTTCTATATATGATTTTAAGTAGATTAATAATGCACACATGACACTTTTGAATGAATGACCACTGAAAAGAATATCGTAATTCTTAAGAGCTCTAAAGTTATAGGAAATTGACCCAGTCAGTGATGCAGGTAATAGTCTACTTACCTGCAGTGCTGGAATGTCACATGGCTAACTGCAGGTTCAGATCCCAAGTTGCCTGAAACACGGTGGGGCGTTCCTGGCTCAGGATTCTGACTGGCAGGAAGGCTGGAGGAAGGGGCAGCATGGTGTGAGCAGACTCTTAGGATGCTTCTTTCTCTTTTTCTCTTTATGTATGTATGTACACACTCCATCAGGAATAAAAGAAAAATAATAACATTGAATAGTTATTACAAATATTCTTTCTTATGGTTTTAGATAAATAATTGTGCAAAGAATATAAAAATGTATAATAAAGAATTTATTGGGCTAGCAGGTAGCATGGTGGTTGTTGTGCTGAACTACCACACGGCCAACCATGGTTCAAGTCCTAGACCTGATGGCTTGCTTTCTCACTTTCCCTTTCTTTCTCTTGTTGGTCAAATTAAATAATAATAATAATAGTAGTAATAATGAATAGGATTTTAAAAATCTTTATCTTAAAAATTATTTAATGAAAATGCATGGTTTCATATACATATTGTAGATATTTTAATGAGCGTTATTTATAGTTCTTTATCTTACTTTTAGGAAACCAAATACCTTTTGCCCACGTTGGAGAAAGAATTATTTTTGGCAGAGCACAGTGACCTTGAAGAAGGTGGACTAGACCTGACTGTGTCATTAAAACCAGTTAGTTTCTATATATCAGACAAGAAGGAAATGCTTCAGCAGTGCTTCTGCATTATAGGAGAGAAGAAGTTACAGAAGATGCTTCCTGATGTGTTAAAGGTACTTTATTATATACGTTAGACTTTACACAAAGAAATACAGCTTTCTTTGTCATAGGGCAGGCTCCACCAAGCCCAGAAATACAGCTTTCTTTGCAACAATCATTTTAATGTAATTTATAATTGAATGTTTTCATTTAGAAAAAACTACTTGAACAAATTAGAAGAGATTTTCAGGTACTGTAAATGACTATGTTAAAATTTGCCAAGAAAAAATGTTAGGCAAGAAATTTATTGACCACCCCATAGAAATAATTCTATTAAATGCAGGCAATAGTGGTGCTAAATTGTAGGTAAAGTGAATTTTCTTAGTGCTTTAAGAAATAATAATATAGCACTGTGTAGCAATATGCAGTGATGATTGTTAATAACTTATATTTCATTTACTTCACAAGTGTTTTTATATATTTACTTAAGAAAATTATTTAGGGAATTAGATGTTTTTCTAGTTTTATCATTGTGGAAATAACTCTGTACAAATTAAGCCCCAGATCATGTATCTAAGACATACAGAGCTAGGACTTGAATATTTAAACTTTTAAAAGAATCGCCTACATAAACTGGGAGCAATTAAAAATATCTGGGAAATTTACTCTTCACTCTGTTTTTTTAATAATAAATGTGACTATATATTTCCATCAGATCTCTATAGTTTTCACATGTTAACTGTCAGTTTTTCAAATTTCATCCCATGAAAAGATTTATATGAATCTACTCGAGGCTTTAATTTGTTTTCTTGTAAGATATTGCCAACTAGAACTTTTTTTTTTGGAGACGTTTTCACTATAAGGAGTGCACTCACCAGAAAGCCAGAGAGAGACAGAAAGCGAGAAATCACCCTCCAAGGGGGATAGCCACACCACAATCCCTTCTCCATTCTCCTCTCGGGATCTTGGGCACACACGCACACACGCCCAGCGTGAGTTTAAGCCACTGGGTCTGGGACGCGAACCGTGGTCAACTACATTGGGAATACAGTGACATAGCCATTACACTAACTGCTGGTCCCACTGACTAGAACTTTTTTCTATTTATACTTTTCCAGTTTACATTGGAGCTATATTACATAAATACATTTTTTTTAACATGTCATTTCCTTTAGAACTGTTCATTAGAAGAAATTAAAAAACTATGCCAGGAACAGTTAGAACTTCTGTCTGAAAAGAAAATCTTAAAGATTCTTGAAGGTAAGAATGCATATTTTTATATTCTGGTAACTAACTAGTTAATAGCTATATTCAGCATAAATCCTGACATATTCTTTTCCTTACTTAGAAATTTTTTTAATTTCATTATTGAGTAATCATTGAAAAGTATTTTTACTTCTCTTTGTACTGAGAAGTATAGTTTACCATTTAAATAGTATTTCAAGGATAGATTTGATCCATAGGTTTTCTAAATCAAGCATATAAATAACAGTATAAGTTTGTACACTGTAATAAGATGAAATAAAAATGCATACCAAAACTGCTGTAAAAAATAATAAATTATTAAGAAGGCAAAGATTTGTTGTTTTTAAAAATTTTCTGCTTTATATTCTTTATAGCTTTTAGTTAACCATTGCATACTATTTCTGTTTTGATAATACCCAGATTAGAGTTAAAAGAATTTCTTTGCCAACATTTATTTCACTTAAATAGGACTACTGTGTGATACTAATACCTCTAGAATTTTGAATTTTCAGGCACTTTTTTATTTTAAATTTTTACTAGCATTAACTTTTAATTCCCAAAGATAGCTTCTTTTTTAAATATACAATGACTTAATGGAATTTTGCAGCTCTGGAAATACATGTAGTCGGTCATTCCTTTGTATTTATGGGTTCCAGATCCACAGGTTCAACCAAATGAGGATTGAAAATATTTTTTTAAAAAAAGTGTATCCATACTGAACATGTACAGAATTGTTTTTGGTCATCACTCCCTAAATAATACAGTATATGAACTACTTATTTACATTGTATTAGGAATTATAAGTAACTTTAACTTAGAGGTAACTTAAAGTATATAAAAAGATGTGCATAGATTATATGCATATACTACACCATTTTGTAAGGGCCTCCCAATGTGTGGATTTTGATATCCATAGGGATCCTGGAATTAGTCCTCCACAGATACTGAAGGAGAATGTACATGTGTATATCATCTCTAAGTATATATACACACATTTATATAACAAAAGGAAGAGAATGAAAGATACCTAATAAGGCATTGAATAAAGTCGTTAGCTTAAATATAAGCACTTAAAAATGTATTAAACAACCATAAAATTCTTTAGTCTGTATCTTTTTAAAACATGATACTTTGTGTAATGAAATCATTTCAACATTTTGTAAGTGTGCTTTCAATAGTTTATTTTATTTATAAGGTGACAATGGTATGGACTCTGATATGGAAGAGGAGGCAGATGATGGCTCTAAGATGGGATCAGATTTAGTCAGTCAGTAAGTTAAAAAATACTTATTTTCATTTCAAAATTTTTTTTTGTTATTTGTTGATTTCTTATATCAAGGATGTGATTATCTTTCGGCATTTTATTTATGTAAAAAATCAGTGAAGTAGCAGGGTTGATTTGTTTACTTGTAATGATCGGTATTTCTGGTATATATGAGGATAGATTTCATTGCTTTCAGGATTATGATTTTCTTACACTACTACATGTAGAATGACTGCAGTGTGCACCTGAATCACATCTCTCATTTGGATTTTTAATATGCTCTTTGTGAAATTTACCATTTATTAAGTGTAGATTGAGCATCTAGAAATCCAGAATCCCAAACCTGAAATGCTTCAAAATCTGAGACTTTTGGGTGCTATAATGACACTACAAATGGAAAATGTGATAACTGACCTGATGCAACAGGTTGCAGTCAAAATGCTACAATACTGGGACTAGCCAGTGGCGTGATAGTTAAGGCAATGGGATCTCACAAGGCTGACTGTGTGGTTGAAGTCCTGGATCCAGTGGATTGAAAAACATGCCAGGTATGTATGCACATATACCCCAAAATCCTGAAAGGAGGGAAAACGGAAGAGAAGGGATTACAGCATGACCATCCCCCACTGGGGGGACTTCCCCCTCCTCTCCATCACAAGTACCTGCACCCACTGAAAAAATTAAAAAGAGAATATAAACAAGCTTTAAATAAACTAATCAAATTGTGGGGCCAGCAAGCGACATGGTTATTAAGGTGCAAGATTCCCACATGGCTGACCATGATTCGTGTCCCAGACCTGGCAGCTTGAAAATCACAGCAGGCATGTGTTAAGTGCAGGCCCCAAATCCAAATCCCAAGAGGAGAATGGAAGAGAAGATACTGTGATGTGTCCATTCCCTAAGGGGGTGATTTCCCTCTTTCTCTATCTCTCTCTGGCAAGTATACATCCTATGGCAAAAACCTTGAAAAAGAATAATCAAATTTCTAAGTTGTAAGATGCCAAATAAATAATACTAATAACTAAAATGGAGCATTAGGTGCCAGACACTGTTTTAATCACTTCTATATGCTTTTAATTATTCATTAAGTTTGTACAACAACTTTATAAGGTAGGTATTTACATCCTTTTACAGATGGAAAAATTAACTCCAATAAGATTAGTATGGCTGAGGTCACACAAGTGCTCATGAAAGTTGGAAGCTGTGTTTGTTATGACAACACTATAGGCTTTTAAGCAAATGGACCTGGCTTTTAAAAAACCTTTAAAACATATAACCTTCCCTAACATCATTTTATTCATTTGCAAAGAAGATAATCCCTGCTTCATGGGATTATAGAGATTAACTGAGCTAATGTTGACTAGTTTGTTGTTATTAATAATGTTAATTATGAACAGCAGGGAGTATATTGCAATGTGTGGTGTTACAGATGGGAAAGGGAGATGATACTGGAAGATACTGGCTTTAACCCATCTTCCTGACTTTTCTTTCCCTCCAACTTTTTTTTCCAATTTGCCAGAGGGTATGTGCACTCACCAGAAAAAGTGAGACAGAGAAAGAGAGAGAGAGAGAGAGAAAGTGAGAGAGAGTAGGGAGAGGAAGAAAGCACCCCCTAGTGGGACATGGTCATGCTGCAATTGCATCTCCTCCATTTCTCTATCCTGTCAGAATCCTGGGCATGCAGATACATGTACCTGGCATGTTTCTCAAGCCACCAGGACCAGGATTTGAACCACATGGTAGGCTATGTGGGGTCTGGTGCTCTTAACCACTATACCATGGGGCCAGCCCTTCCCCAATATTTTGAAACAGTAGGTTTCATTTAAATGTAGATGTCCAGGAGAGAGTGCAGGTAGAGAACTTTATTCTCTTTGTTATTGAACAAAATTTGAGGTAAGCCGACTGGAGTTTGAGTCCTGGTGTTGTCTGCTTTATGTGCTTAGGATCCTAACAGGATGGAGAATTGGAGGAAAAAGATTGCAGTGTGACCAGACCCAGTTGGGAGGGGTTTTCATTCTCACTTGCCCTCTCTCTCTCTCATGTGTTCATGTGCTCTCTAGGAGATGTTTTCGTTCTCACTTGCCCTCTCTCTCATGTGTGCATGTGCTCTCTATCAGAAATAAAAATAAATAAGCTTTTAAAAAAACTGAGGCATAAAGGTAGTGATTTGCCTTTTTTAAAGCTTTAAGGAGGCTATTTAGGATGGCTTAGCTGGTGGGATTCTTTGAATCCTATTGGAACGTGTGACACCTTCATATTTGTTTTGTGCTTACAAGAATAACTTAGTCCTTTTAATCTGTATAGAGGGGAACTGAACTGGTGGGAAGATTCACAGAAATCTCCTTCCTGTGGTTCAAGAGGGGATTAAGTTTATTAACATATTTGAGGTGCTTGTTGCTGAAAATTCCCATGTCTTCCATAATCTGGATTTTTATCTCTGATAAATTCCAGGAGTCTAACCTAGCTGAATGCTGAGGAAGCAGTCAGTAATGAATAGGCAAAGGATGAAAGAAACTAATAATTTGAGCTGAATAACTGGAATAGGTAGCTTCTGTTGAGCAGAGGATTAGTAGAATATAGAAAAGAAAAATTTAACAAAATAATAAGAACTCTCAAGGAAGTATAATTAAAGCATACATATAATTTGGGGAGCAAAAAAATTCTAAATTTCCAAATCCTATAGACAGGCTAGTAAAGAGATTAGTTGTGACTGGGAACTGAATCATTGTTCTTAAAAAGTAAAGTTGAATATATAGACACAGAAAATTTTCAGAAATGTAAATCCTTATGTGTAACTCATGGGAGCCTGGAAGACAGTTTTAAAGAGCCCTACATTTCTCATCTAGAAAAGTAGTAAAGAAATGATAGAATTAAAATTTTAAATCTTAAAACCACAGGGCAGGAACAATGAGAAAATTGTGCCCTCTGAAAACTCATGTGCTGAAATCCCAAACCTCCTCTCCTCCCAGAATGTAACCTTGTCTGGAAGCAAGGAATTGAAAGAGGTAATAAACTGAATTCCTTGGGGTGGGTCCTAATCCAGTCTTGACTACTTTTCTTATAATAACAGGAAAATTGAACACATTTAGAGACACTAGAAGAACTAATACATCTATTTATCTAAAATATTTTTGATGAAGTTTTCAGCTGAACTTAAAACTTCAAAGTTACATTAAAGTTGAAACAGAGATATGATGAAGCTTCTACCTAGATTCAGCAATGTTAACTTTTGCTATATTTGCTTTCTTTCTCCCTTTGTGTTATCCTTTTCCCCTCAGAATTATTTGTATTAGTTTGGTGGGGCTGCCATAACAAAATTTCACACTGAGTGGATTAATCAAAATTTATTCTCACAATTCCAGAGGTTGGAAGTCCAACATAGGGTTTCAGTGGGTTGGTTTCCTTGAGATTTATATCCTTTGCTTGCAGGTGGCTGTCCTTTTGCTGCCTTTTTACAGTCTTCTCTTTGTACTCATCCCATGATGTGTGTGTGTGTGTGTGTGTATATGTGTGTGTGTGTGTGCGTGTGTGTGTGTCTCTTTCTCTCTGTCTCTACTCTACTTTCCTCTTAAAAGGACATCAGATTGGTATTGGGACCAGCAGTTAGCATAATGGCTATGTTGCTGGACTCCCATCTAGTTGACTGCGGTTCATGTCCCGGACTCGGTGGCTTAAAACTCACGCTGGGTGCGTGTGTGTGTGCCCAAGATCCCGAGAGGAGAATGGAGGAGAAGGGATTGCGGCATGGCCATCCCCCCTGGGGGGTGATTTCTCGCTTTCTGTCTCTCTGTCTCTGTCTGTCTGGTGAGTGCACGTGCCCTATAGCAAAAACCTCTCTCCCCAAAAAAAGGACATCAGATTGGATTAGGGCCAGCCATAATGTCCCCCATTTTATTTTAACTACCTCTTTAAAGGCTCTATTTTCAAATACAATTATCTTCTCATGTACTGTGAATTGGGGTTTCAACATAAAAATTTGGTGGTGGGGTTATAATTCAACCACATACAAATGAATTTTTACAGTTTATTGCCATTAAATTTTATGGCTAAACAATTTGGTATGCAACTTCTGAAAATAAGAGGAGTTTCTTATTTAGTCAGAATACCATAATCACCCTTAAGAAAATTAATAGTGGACCAGCAGGTGGTGTAGATGCTGCATGGCTGAAAGCGTGGTTCCAGTCCTAGACCCAGAAGCTTGAAAAACATGCTGGGCGTGTGTGTTTGCATGCCCAAAATCCCAAGAGGAGAATGGAGGATAAGGAATTGTGGTGTGGCCATCTCCCCTGGGTGATGTTTTCTCACTTTTTCTTTCTCTCTCTCTTCGTCTCTGGCAAGCACTATGTCATATAGCAAATTTAAAAAAGAAAAGAAAAGAAACAATTTCCAAATATGTCAAGATAAAACATCAGTGTTATTAAAAATATGTTAAAAATTTAATGTTTTATTAGGCAATTTATGCCCTTTTATTATAGCTTTAGTCAGAAGTGACATAACATTGACAGAATAGTGTAAGAACCTGTTAGTGACATTTTTGAATATGAGGCATATGTGTATAGATTAAATATACTTTATTAGTTTTCTTATGACTTTAAAGTTTTGAGACACTGAAGTATACACAGATCTTTATCCACACATTAAAAATAATTCTAATCTTATCTTTACAATTTTAAATTATTTCTTCATATTACCAGCTTTTATACACAAATTCTAATAGTTTTCTTCTCAGATCAGCTTTCTTTTTTTTGGGAGAGGTTTTTACTTATTGGGCACATGTGCTCGCCAGAGAGACAGAAAGCAAGAAATCACCCTCCAGAGGGAATAGCCATGCCGCAATCCCCTCTCCGCCATTCTCCTCTCAGGATCCTGGGCACACAGGCACACGCACCCGGCATGAGTCTAAGCCACTGGTTCTGGGACTCGAACTGCGGTCGACTACATGAGAGTCCAGCGACATTGCCATTACGCTACCTGCTGTCCCCAGCTGTTTTTTTTTTTTTTAAGAGA